TTTGATACCCAACACTAAAACCAAAACATGTAGATGCTGGGTCATGGCTCACAAGAACTCTCAGCAGAACCAGACCCCTTCCCCAGCCTCAGTCCCAGAAAGCTGTCCATTTCCTTCCTGGGGACATCCTATTCTTCCATTCTCAGATATCTGGGTCTCCACTGTGGATGAGAAATGGGTGTGTCCAGTACTTGTTTAGGCCTGATGATTTGAGACTCTAGGCTGTTATATTACTGAGTTAACTCAGACAACCTACTTCCTCACTCTGGCCTCAGTTTAGTTGCTTGTAAAAAATAGGAACAAAGATCCCTGAACAGTGAACAGAGTTTGCAGAGGTACCAAAGACAATGTGGTGTGTTAGTTCTCTGCTGTCCACACAGGAGGGGAAAGAGCCCTCCTGCTGGAGTCACATTTTTCTGAGTTGCCAGGAGTCACCAGCATTACTGAGTGAAAGAAGTGGCTGGCAGTAGAGCCTTGAGGGTATTCGGAGAGAACTCTATGGCTTTATCCTTTGACCTGCAATATGTTTCTGAGGCACAGCAGTCATGGAACTCATGGAGCCTAGGGATAGCAGAGGTTGAGGCCCAACTCAAAGTCCTTCACTTGGGCCACTGGAATCTTGTACTGGCAAGACTTAGGAGCAATAAGGGCCCAAGGGCAAATAAGCTTGGGAAACTCAGCACATACCATGTGCCTCTTCAAGATTCCCAGGCTCTTCACCAAGACCATGCTCTGAGAAGACACATATACCTTGGCCATGGTCTCTCTCTTTCTCTCTCTCTCCCTCTCCCCCCTTTCTCCTTTCCCCCTCTCTCTGACAGGGTCTCATTCTATAGCCCAGGCTGATCTGAAACTATGTAGCCCAGGCTGATCTGGAACTCACAACAATCGTCCTGCTTCAGTCTCCCAAATGCTAAGATTATAGGACTGAGCCACCACGCCTGGCTTCTCTTTTCTTCCTCTTCTTGGTGGACCATCCATTGTGTCAGCTTTTTGTGGCTATAGCAAATACTTGAGCTAAAAGCTTTATGTTGGCTCATGTTTAGGAAGGTCTAGTTCATGCTCAATTGACCAGTCTACTTTGGAGCTGTGGCAAGGCAGCATATCATGGTGGAAGGCCATGATGGAGCAAAAAATACTCATTTTATGGCCAGAAAGAAAAAAGAGAGGAAGAAGCCAGGCATAGTGGTACATGTCTATAATCCTAGCTCCAAGGCAGGAGGATCAAGAGGTTAAAGCCAGTCTGGTATGTACATTAGCATCCTGTATCAAAAAATAACAAAAATGACTGTGTACTCTAAGCACTCAGGAGGCTGAGTAGGAGGATCAAGAGTTCAAAGCCAGCCTGGGATATATAGTGAGACCCTGCCTCAAAAATGCTTGTAATGGGGACTGGAGGGCTCAGCAGTTAAGAACATTGGCTGTTCTTGCAGAAGACCTGGGTTTGAATCCCAGCATCCACATGGCAGCTAACAGCTGTCCGTAACTCCAGTCCCAGGGGATCCAACAGCCTCTTCTGACCTCCATGGGCATTTCATGACATGGGTGCAGGCAATACACACATACACATAAAATAAAAATAACAGCTGGGCATGGTGGTGCACGCCTTTAATCCCTGCACTCAGGAGGCAGAGGCAGGTGGATCTCTGTGAGCTCAAAGCCAGCCTCGTCTATCTAGTGAGTTCCAGGACAGGTGGGGCTACAGGGAGACCCTGTCTCAAAAAGACAAAAATAAATAAAATAAAATAAAATATTTTTTTAAAAAAACGCCTGTAATGCCAGCACTCAGGAGCCTGAGACAGGAGGATCATGAGTTTAAGTCTAGCCCAGGCTATTCGGTGAGGGGGGGTAGAGGGGGAGAGAGAAAGAGAAATAGAGAAAAAGAAGAAAAAGGAGATAAAGAAGGGAGGAAAGAGAGAAAGGGAAGAAGAGGAAGGGACTGGGGTCTCCTTCAGGAGCACAGTTACTTCCTGTTTTCTTCTGATTAGAACTCATCACTTAAAATTATCACCCTCTTCCAATGACAGCCCCTTGGGAACCAAACCTCTAACATGGTCCTTTATGGAATACTCAGGATCCAAACCATAGCATGTGCATCTTGGAGGTACCCTGGGACATTGTGTCCTGAGAATTTGGAAGGACTTGAGAATTTTTGTCCCAGGAAAACAGCTGGCAGGGTGGAGGAGCTCATGGAATTATGTGACCTCAACATTTAGTGTGTGCCAACCACATAACAAAGGTTGGTTGAACAATTAATGGATGGCTGGATGAATATGTTTTATTCCCTGCCAAATGTTAAGAATGCAGAGAGGAAGGCAAAAGTAATCTGAACCACAAGAACTTAGCGCAGAATCATTCTTAGTTCTCTCTGGGTCATAAGTTTGGTGCAAGAACTGATAAAATTAATTAATTCATTCATTCATTTGTTCAACAACAGATCAGTAAGTACACTGCTAGGGATTAGGACTGGGGACCTCAGAACACCCAGGAGAGGATAATATACTAAACATGGGTAGAAGGAGTCAAGGGTAACTTTCTGGAGGTGAGTCTGAAGGACCCTTTGGGGGACTGACCTCATGGTTCCAGCATTTGTGCCAATATTCCAGCCATAAAAGTTATGCTTGGGGCCTCCTGGAATCCACACTTATCTACAATCTGATGGCTGCCCTTCCCCCCTTTACCTTTTTACCTCTATCATTCCTCCTTGCTGTCAACTGCTTGCTTGCCTTCCCACACCCAAGAAAAGTATCCTCATTCTGCAGATGGCTGGAAGACTCAAAGGAACAAGGCTCCAATGGCAAAATTCCAAGCAGGATGAAAAATAAATGGGAAACTATGTGGGTGAAAAGGGGTCCTACTCAAACCTCCTCCCCCATGACTTTCTACAGCACCTCAGACCCACCACTCATCTTGTCCTTCCGGCGACCCCTGCCAACCAGCTCCTCTGCCCCCTGCAAACAACAGCATGACTGGACCTTTAAATGGGGAAAATGCTTCATCATGTTCTGCTTCTCCATGAGAAACCAGAAACTCCTCCCCGCTCCTCCCTAGTGCACTCTCCTTCCAGTAAAATGTGGTTAAAGGGACAGTACCACCAAGTCTCCAGCTCTGAGGGCTGCCTGCAACCAGGGGCTGGAAAAGAAACAGAGGGCAGAAAGAGAGGAATAGGATGAGGTCTTTCCTGGAGGGCCGGGGGAGGGGTCTCTCTCCAAGGGAATCCCAACAGAAAACCAGGATAAACTGGGGGTGCAGTGCTACTTGTACTTGGGAGAGGTTCTGTTGTCAATGTCCTTCCTGCCCCTGCCCCAGTAGAGGAGGTTTATGTGGAAAAACTCACAGAAAGCAAGGAACTGGGCAGGTCATTCAAGTGTGGGTCATTGGGTGACCCTTCTAGATGACTTACCTACGCCCCTCTCTTCATTTCCTCTCTGCATAGCACAGGGGTGGGGCGGGGAAGTACTGGCGCATCTCCGGCCCCTCTTAAGTTAACCCCTTCACGTCCAAAAAAAAGGGGGGGGGGAGAAGCTCTGTCCCTGGTGCTGAAGCAATAGCCGCAAGGCAGTCTCTACTACCAAGACAGAAGCCCAAACCAAGAGCAAGCCATATAACAAAGCAAGGCCCCAAGTCTGAGCCTCCCACACTTTTTTAACCTGAATCCCGAGTCGGGCTCATGAGGGTGAGGGACTTGGCACTGAGAAAGCACCCCACCGCTTCCTTGGGAGTGTGAAGGGATGGATGCCTGTGGCAGTGTGGGCTTGCCTGTTGTGGAGATGGGGGGTGTGATGATGGGTTAAAAGCGAGATGAGACAAGAAAGGGACAGAGACTTCCACATTGTGGGGAAACGAGTGCTAAAACCCACCGGCAATATGTGGGTCCTCTCCCCACATTCAGCCAGAGATTCTCCCAAAGTTGGAAGCTCCTGAGGTATTTGGGGGTCTGATCTTGTCTCTAAAGCAAGAACCCTGTTGTACACACTGGGAAACCAAGCATGAGGGACAGAATTTGTACAAGGTCATTGAGCTAGTATATCGCACAGCTCCCCCGCCCCCCACCAGCTGCCCTGTGTGCATAACCTGGCTTGGGTGTTCTCTGTCCCCACACTTAGCCAGAGTCTTGTTGCCTACTCAGGGTACCCTCTGCCCCTTCAGTGACAGTCTCCCTTGCTGGGGTGAGTTTCAGTCTCCACTCCAACCTTAGGGGGCCACTCTAGGCTTTTTGGAGAACACTGCATCCCCCTCCCATCCGGGGTTCCCTCTCTCCATCTTCTGTAGTGTTTCCCATGTCACATCAGGGTAGCCTTGTAGTCTTTCCCAACCCAGGTCCCCCCTCCCCTATTCCGAAGCCAGCTGCAGTTTCTTGAGCCCCTTCCCAGTAGCCACTCTAGCTGCAGGGGAAACACTACACCTCCAGGTAGAGGTCCCTATTTATCCTCTGTAGCGTCTACCCTGCAGTCCCATCCAGGACCCCCGGTTCTGGGATAGCTGCAGTCTCTGCACTCCTTATCCCAAGACCCTCTCTATTAGGAAACCTTGTGTTGCCTTTCATGCTGGAGTCTTCTCATCCTAAAGACTGCAGCGTCAACCCGAAGGCACCTTGCCTCTATTCCAGACAGGTTTCCTGCCCGCTTCCTATTTCGGGTCCCCCTCTCTGATTCTGAGCACACCAGCAAGGTCTTCTGACATGCACCTGGAGGTCTGTGCTTGTCCGCTCCGGAAGTCCTTTACTCCTTGCTCTGACCTCGGGAAGCTCCTCTGAGGTTGCGACGATTCCCCTTCACTAGTTTGTCCCCCTGCCCCGCCCCTCTCACTGCGGCGGAGCCGGTCGGCTCGCGGCCGTAGGGGAGGAGGTGGAAAGGGCGGGGCCCTTCTCCCCAGCCCCCCACTGCCAAGGGGCTGGACCCGGCCACCGCGGATATAAAAGAGCCAGCGTCCTGGAGCTGCCGCAGTGCCACCCACCCGGTCCTGGCCCCGAGTTCCGGCTCTGCCGGCGGCTCGCACCTGCTCCAGCAATGATGAGCTTCGGCAGCGCGGATGCGCTGCTGGGCGCCCCGTTCGCGCCGCTGCATGGAGGCCGCAGCCTGCACTTCGCGCTGGCCCGCAAAGGCGGCGCGGGCGGCACGCGCTCCGCGGCTGGTTCCTCCAGCGGCTTCCACTCGTGGGCGCGGACGTCGGTGAGCTCCGTGTCCGCCTCGCCCAGCCGCTTCCGCAGCGCCGGCGCCGCCTCGAGCACCGACTCTCTAGACACACTGAGTAACGGGCCGGAGGGCTGCGTGGTGGCGGCGGCGGCGGCGCGCAGCGAGAAGGAGCAGCTGCAGGCGCTGAACGACCGCTTCGCGGGCTACATCGACAAGGTGAGGCAGCTGGAGGCGCACAACCGCAGCCTGGAGGGTGAGGCGGCGGCGCTGCGGCAGCAGCAGGCGGGCCGCGCCGCCATGGGCGAGCTGTACGAGCGCGAAGTGCGCGAGATGCGTGGCGCCGTGCTGCGCCTGGGTGCGGCGCGCGGCCAGCTGCGCCTGGAGCAGGAGCACCTGCTGGAGGACATCGCGCACGTGCGACAGCGCCTGGATGAGGAGGCCCGACAGCGCGAGGAGACCGAGGCGGCCGCACGCGCACTGGCGCGCTTCGCGCAGGAGGCCGAGGCAGCGCGGGTGGAGCTGCAGAAGAAGGCGCAGGCGCTGCAGGAGGAATGCGGCTACCTGCGGCGCCACCACCAGGAGGAAGTGGGAGAGCTGCTTGGCCAGATTCAGGGCTGTGGCGCCGCGCAGGCGCAGACACAGGCCGAGGCGCGCGACGCCCTCAAGTGCGACGTGACGTCGGCCCTGCGGGAGATACGAGCGCAACTCGAAGGCCATGCGGTGCAGAGCACGCTGCAGTCTGAGGAGTGGTTCCGAGGTGCGCAGGCGCACGGGATTGGGGCGGGGTCGCCCCCTGCTGACGAGTGGTGTTGTGGGTTCATCACCGGGGGCTCTAGAGGACTCCTCCAGGAGTTAGTCGGACCGGAGAGACCAGAGGATCCCTCTGCAAAGTGCATGTTCCCTAAGGAAGTAGTGGTCTTACTCTGGCTCTCCAGTGGAACACCCACAGCTCTGGAATTTTCCTTAGTTGCAACCCTCCAACATTGTGTATGTCTGTACTTCATCTCCGGGGCCAGCCTCCTCTGCCCTCCATCCTATTAGGCAGCCCCAGTTTGAGACGGCCTCCCTTCAGAAACAACAAGGACACTCTAGACCCTGGGTTTCCAGCTTCTGACCCCATGCCCTGCCAACTCTGCCCATCCTCTTTTCTTGCACCCTGTGTAGAGTGTGAAATGGGGGGAGGGGGTATTGTGCTGACACCGACCTGGCTCCTCCCCACTAACTGCTCAGTGCATAATGTTCCTCCCTACCTTAATCTGCTGTGTGGGATGAAACGAGACAGTTATTTTCACATCTTTTTTTTTCCCCCAGGATGAGACCAGCACCGTGTACCCAATGGCAACAGGTGGCTGCAGCAGCCTTTGAGCTATTTAATATCCCTTCTGATCTTCAGAAAAGCTGGGGCCTCCCGGCTCCCTTTCTTTTCCAACTTCCTGCAGTCCTGAGTCAGCTAGACTGCAGTTGCCCTGAAGCTGTGCCCAGCAGCTGCAGTGTGACCTTGACCAACACTGCCCCTCTCTGGTTTTCATTTCCTTTGGGGTTGAAAGAGTGTAGGGGAACTGGACTTCTTAGTCTGGGGTGCTCCAGGGTAATTCCTGAAACTCTGTAAACCTGTGCATTGTTCTGGGGAGAGAGTACAGAGGCTTCAGTGATTTTCAGGAGAGTTTGTGACCCATAGTAGCTGAGAATCCGCACCTGAGTGACGGTAAAGTCTTTGCTAACTCAGCAGGGAAAGCCAGGAATACTGGGACTTGGAAACTTGGAATTTTCTCTTTCCTGTTTCACTCCTTTGTAGCGGCAGAGAGCCATCCCTCTCCCTTTCCCCATCTCGCAATAAACCATCCCTTCCCCATCTCTGCAGCACACACACCCCCACACACACCGAGGGGACCTCTTCTTTTAGATTTGCTCTTCACCCAGGACATGTGGGAACCAGCTGGCTTCTTTCTTTCTACCAAGACTCAGTTCTGGGTGACAATACCCTGGATTCAGGATGTTCACTTTCAGGAGGTTTAGACCAAATTTAGATCCCTCATAAGAACTGAGAATTAGGAACAGGTTGCTGGCAGAGGTCAGTGTGTGTTTGCCATTGGCTCAGGGGCTCCAGTGCTAGAGAATGCACAGCCAGGTGGAGGAAGGGACAGAGAGTTGGTACATGAGGCCTTGTGCTCTGCAGTGACCTTGGACTCTGCACAAACCTGCAAGGAAGGTACCATGGCTACATGGTAACATGATTGTGCCCATAGCTTTCATGCCGCCTGAGGTCACAGGCATATTAACTTCTGCAACAAATCTCCAGACCCCAACTCAAATTGAGGCCTGATGATTAGATCTCATATATGAACTGCCAGTGTGCCATCCCCTTGATGAGGAGCTCTATCAGGCACTGGAACCAGGAATGGAGGCTTCCTTTCCCCTGTGGGGTTTATGTTAATCAAGTTAAGGGAGAAATAGTCTGATCTTCAAAGCCAGATAAGTAAATTTGAATTCTGCCAGTCACTAGCTTGGTCGCTTTGGACAATGGCAACTTGCCTATCAAAGGATAGGGTGAATCAGGCATCCTGGTACCTGAATGTTCTTAACACATGTGTTCCACCTTCTAGATCTGAGCACTGGAATCTTAAGTTCAGGTGTGTCTAACCCTGTGCCCTGATCCCTTCTTACCTCAGTGAGGCTAGATCGACTGTCAGAGGCAGCCAAAGTGAACACAGATGCCATGCGCTCTGCACAGGAGGAGATAACTGAGTACCGGCGCCAGCTACAGGCCAGAACCACAGAGCTGGAGGCACTGAAAAGCACCAAGGATTCACTGGAGAGGCAGCGCTCTGAGCTAGAGGACCGACATCAGGCAGACATTGCATCCTACCAGGTAGGCAGGGGAGGACAGAGGCTTATTAGGTGATCTTGGAGTCACTTCCCTTCTCAAAGGAGGACCATGGGTCTCTGTATCAGATATAACCATACTTTTTGCTCTGTGACCCCAGGAGAGCTATCTGCCTGCCTGAATTAGAATTCCTTCTCTGTAGTGAAAAGAGAGAAAGTGCAGGGGGAGGGGGAGGAACACACACCTGATTTGTAGAACTGTGACGATCAAAGGAAGGACACACTTCAAAAGTGCTCAGTAATGATGGGGATATAACTCAATGGCAGAATGCTTGCCTGCCTAGTATTCCCAAGGCCCCAGGCTCCAACCTAGCACCAAAAATAAACAAAATAATTATTTAAATAAAGTGCTCAGCAAGGTTTTAGTCACCATGAGTATTCTATTACTAGCCACCAGTGTCTGTGGGTGGCCTGGAGACAGACAGCCTGGGCAGATTCCTCCAGTTAACGACAACTTTGGAGAGAAAAATGTCACATTCATAGAACTTGGTAAACAAGTAACACATAGTGATTATAGAGACATTGGAAATTAGAGAAACAGAAAGGAGAGGGGAAAAAAAAGGTAGTTGTAATTGTCCTCTTTACGTAGTGGCTCCAGTGGGTAGGAGGGCTCATTTCCTATTTAATATACCTCTGGGTATCCTTTCATTTGCCAGGTAATCAAAATACTTTCCAAGCAGTGACATTGGCAGGCAGTTTTGGAAACAGTAGGAGGAAAGCAGATAAGGCTCTTTTCTCACTGAGCTTTCTGTTTTCATTCCTGGGTTATGGAACCCTAGGGCCTTGTGCATGATGTTACCCAAGTGTCCTGCCACTCAACTATACCCTTCCAGGAGCATTTTCTAAGAGATCTGTAGAAATTCACCCAACGTCCTACTGACCAAGACAGTTTCTGATGTAGTTTATTCCAGATCTTTCTTCAGGCTGAGATTTTTTACTCCAGATTTTCCCATGTCTACACATGAGGAGCCTACAACAGGGTGGGGTTTGATCCCCAGCTAGCCTGGCTGGGCAGGGTGGCTCTAGATTTGCACAGTAAGCCCAAGCTTACATGGAACTCAGGACCAGACACTGGCTTGCAGGTGACTCATATGACCTGTCATCCTCAGGAAGCCATTCAGCAGTTGGACAGCGAGCTGAGAAACACCAAGTGGGAGATGGCAGCCCAGCTCCGTGAGTACCAGGACCTGCTCAATGTCAAGATGGCCCTGGATATTGAGATTGCTGCTTATAGGTGAGAGGCCTGGGACTCTGTAGGTGGTGGAGAACCTTGTGTTCTCATGAGGCAGTAAGCCTTTGGTTTCAAAACCCTGTTTTAGAGACAAAAGTATTTATTTATTTTGTTTTTATTTGTATGTGTGTGTGTATGCATGTGCCATGGTGCATGTGTAGAGGTGAGAGAACTTTGTGGAGTTTGTTCTTTTCCTTCCACATTTATGTGGGTTCTGGGGAGTGAACTCAGGTACCTAGGCCTCTACCAGCTAAGCCATCTTGCCAGGCAAAAGTACTTTAATTATGGTAAAATACATCTTAATGGCTGTTGAGATGGTTCGGTAGGTAAAAGCACAGAATTGAATTCCGAAAGTTGTCCTCTGCCCTCCATACACACACCATGGAACCCATACACTCACACCCATACACACACGTGTACACGCCCACTAAAATTTAAAAATTTTAAATATATATCTTAGGGGCTGGAGATATATAATACTCAGCTGATAACACTGACTGTTCTTGCAGAAGACCCGGGTTTGAATCCCAGCACCCACATGGCAGCTAACAGCTGTCCATAACTCCAGTTCCAGGGGATCCAACAGCCTCTTCTGTCCTCCATGGGCATTGCACGGGCATTGCACCACATGGGTGCACTTACCTACATACAGGCAATTACACGCATACACATAAAATAAAAATAATAAATATTAAAAAATATATATGTATCTTAAAATTTGCCATTGAACCATTTTAAGTAACCAGTTCAGTGATGTTAAGTACATTTGCATATACAACCCTAACCGTCTATCTCTAGAATTATTTTTGTCATCCTAAATTCAAACTGAAAATTCCTTAAATAACTCATTTTCCACTTCCCTCAGCCCCTAGCATCTGTTCTACTTCTCAAGAGGCAGAAATCTTGAGAATTACTTTTTTTTAAATCACATTTTATTTGTGTGGGGGGGGTCTGTATGTGCACATACATATGAATGTCAAAGGACAACTTGGGAAGTTGGTTCTCCCCTTTTAACATGTGGGTCCTGGGAATCAAATTCCAGTCCTCAGGCTTGGCACCAGAATAGAAGGCAAAGAGGTACTTGCATAGTCAGGGACCATTACAACTCTGTCTTTTAAAGTTTCTTTCTTTTTTTAAGATTTATTTCTATTTTTTGTGTATGAGTGTTTTTTAAAATATTTTTTTTTATTTTATGTGCATGCGTGTATTGCCTGCATGTAGGTAAGTGCACCCATGTTATACAATGCCCGTGGAGGACAGACGAGGCTGTCAAATCCCCAGAACTGGAGTTATGGACAGTTGTTAGCTGCCATGTGGGTGCTGGGATTTGAACCCCAGTCTTCTGCAAGAACAACCACTGTTCTTAACTACTGAGCCATCTCTCCAGCCTCGTATGAGTATTTTGACTGCATATATGTATATTTACCATGTGTGTGCAGTGCCCATGGAGTCCAGAAGAGGGTGTTAGATTCCCTGCAACTAGAGTTATAAGTAGATGTGAGCTGCCATGTAGGTGTTGTGAGTTGAACCCTACTCTGGGTTGCAGATCTCAATCCAACAGCCTAGGGCGGAGCCTGAACCTAACAAGCTCTAGTATGACACTGATTCCTGACCAATGGCCTACACTGAGCATCAAGATTAGACTAGAGCCAACAGGTAGAAAGCCAAGGGTCATCAACTGGGACAGGCCTTCATGGGGTCAGCTCTGCTAAGCTGGGAGGTCTTATCTTTGGGGACTGGTGTACTCATGGCTACCATTCAGAGAGCACTGTGATAGCTCAGTGGAATCTGTGTCTGGATTACCTTGTGAACAGGACTAGCTTAGCCTCCCAACAACCCCTACAAAGTGTGCTGTTACTATCATCTCCATTTATTTCTGCAAGGAATAAAGGCTCAGCAATCTAAGAAACTCTAAAGGGGAGCTGGAGAGGATTCAGCGGTTATGAGCACTTTCTGAGCTCTGGTGCATGCCTTTAATCCCAGAACTCAGCAGACAGAGTTAGCTAAGACAAGAGGATAAACTGCTGTCACTACTTATTTCTAAACACCAAAGAATGGCAAGAAGTGACAGAACAATTGTAAATGGCCACACTCTTAAACTAAATTTGTAAGTGTGGAATTATTTGTTACCAGGTTCTTTTTTTTTCTTTCAGTCCTGGAAGGGATCAAATCTAGGGCCTCATACATGCTGGACAAACACTGCACCACTAAGCTGGACCCCCAACCCTCCAACTTTCTTTTGAGTAAGCTTTTAGTTGAGGGACAATAAATGTAACTTTGTCCATGAAGAAGTTCTCTATTGAGAACCGTTCTTCAGGGAGGAAAAGTTTGATTTCATAAGCAGCAGCCTAGCTACATTGAGCAAGAGTAGCCCTGGGGAGGTATGGCTTTGCAGGTGGTCACTGGGATACTTTGCTAAATAACTTTCTCCATTCTCAAAGTGCCTAACGCTGGATTGTGACTCCGTGAACATGGTTAGCATGATTCAATCCTGAAGAAATTCAAACTATCTACCAATAATAAAATGGGAACTCCTGGGGAAAAAAGAGCAATAGGGAAAGAAGGGGGGAGGAAGTAAAAAGGAGAAAGGGAAAGAAAGAAAATTCCTACCATTCATTCATATTTCTTCATTCATCAAAGTCCCTGCCACTGGATGTGATGGAGCATCAGGAAACCCTAGGAAGAGTCCAGATCTGCAAATCTGCTCTGAGTTAATAGTAACGTGTTTCATTATCCATTATACAGAAAACTCCTGGAAGGTGAAGAATGTCGGATCGGCTTTGGCCCAAGTCCTTTCTCTCTTCCAGAGGCACTCCCAAAAATTTCCTCCACGTCTACTCACATAAAAGTCAAAAGTGAAGAGATCAAGGTGGTAGAAAAATCAGAGAAGGAAACTGTGATTGTGGAGGAACAGACTGAAGAGATCCAGGTGACAGAAGAAGTAACCGAAGAAGAGGAGAAAGAGGCCAAAGAGCAGGAAGACAAAGAAGAAGAAGGGGGAGAAGAGAAGGCAGAAGAGGGAGGAGAAGCAGAAGCAAAATGTCCCCCAGAAGAAGATGTCACATCTCCAGAAAAGGAAGCCAAGTCCCCTCTGAAGGAAGAGGCCAAGTCACCAGCTGAAGCCAAGTCCCCTGTGAAGGAAGAAGCAATGTCCCCAGCTGAGGTCAAGTCTCCAGAGAAGGCCAAGTCCCCTGTGAAGGAAGAGGCCAAGTCTCCAGAGAAGGCCAAGTCCCCAGTGAAGGAAGAGGCCAAGTCTCCAGAGAAGGCCAAGTCCCCAGTGAAGGAAGAGGCCAAGTCTCCAGAGAAGGCCAAGTCCCCAGTGAAGGAAGAGGCCAAGTCTCCAGAGAAGGCCAAGTCCCCAGTGAAGGAAGAGGCCAAGTCTCCAGAGAAGGCCAAGTCCCCAGTGAAGGAAGAGGCCAAGTCTCCAGAGAAGGCCAAGTCCCCAGTGAAGGAAGAGGCCAAGTCTCCAGAGAAGGCCAAGTCCCCAGTGAAGGAAGAGGCCAAGTCTCCAGAGAAGGCCAAGTCCCCAGTGAAGGAAGAGGCCAAGTCTCCAGAGAAGGCCAAGTCCCCAGTGAAGGAAGAAGCAAAGTCCCCAGCTGAGACCAAGTCCCCAGTGAAGGAAGAGGCCAAGTCTCCAGAGAAGGCCAAGTCCCCTGTGAAGGAAGAAGCAAAGTCCCCAGCTGAGACCAAGTCCCCAGTGAAGGAAGAGGCCAAGTCACCAACTGAGGTCAAGTCTCCAGAGAAGGCCAAGTCCCCAGTGGAGGAAGAAGCAAAATCTCCTGAGAAAGTCAAGTCCCCAGTGAAGGAAGAGGCCAAGCCTCCAGCTGAGGTGAAATCCCCTGAGAAGGCCAAGAGCCCAGTGAAAGAGGAAGCTAAGTCCCCCGAGAAGGCCAAGACTCTAGATGTGAAGTCTCCAGAAGCCAAGACGCCAGTGAAGGAAGAAGCAAAGTCCCCTGCAGACATCAGATCCCCTGAACAGGCCAAAAGTCCTGCCAAAGAGGAGGCCAAGGCCCCAGAGAAGGTCAAATCCCCTATGGGGGATGCCAAAGCTCCTGAGGCCCCCAAGAAGGAAGAGGTGAAGTCCCCTGTAAAGGAGGAGGTGAAAGCCAAAGAGCTCCCAAAGAAGGTAGAGGAAGAGAAGACTCCAGTGACACCAAAACCAGAGGAGAAGGAGGAGAGCAAGAAAGACGTGGTGCCCAAGAAGGAGGCCCCAAAGCCCAAGGTGGAGGAGAAGAAGGAAACTGCAGCAGAAAAGCCCAAAGATTCTAGAGTGGAAGCCAAGAAGGAAGAGACTGGAGTTAAGAAGAAAGCAGTGACCCCAGAGAAGGAGGTGCCTGCCAAAGTGGAGGTGAAGGAAGAGGCTAAACCCAAAGAGAAAATGGAGGTGACCAAGAAGGAACCAGATGACTCCAAAACCAAAGAACCTGGCAAACCAGCAGAGAAGGAAAAGCCAAAGAAAGAAGGGGCGCCAGCAGCACCAGAGAAGAAAGATACCAAGGAGGAGAAGGTTGCAGAGTCCGAGAAGCCTGAAGAGAAACCCAAAACAGAGGCCAAGGCCAAGGAGGATGACAAGGGCCCCTCCAAAGAATCCAGCAAGGAGGCCCCCACTCCCAGCAAACCCAAGATGGAAAAGGCTGAAAAATCTTCTAGCACAGACCAAAAAGATAGCCAGTCCCCAGAGAAGGCCACAGAGGACAAGGCCACCAAGGGGGAGAAGTAAAGCAAGGACAGAGGAACATCCAGAGCCGCCAAAGAAACTCAGGAGGGTCCCAGGACTCCAGGGTTGGTGTAAGAAATTTTCATTTTTCCCCCTCCCTTTATTTTCCGTAAGAGGAAACTCTGCTTAGATGATGGGCCCGCCTTCACTTAGCAATAAGTTAGCAAGAGAGGACACCCCCAACCCCCAGCTCCAGCACCCCACTCCCCAAGCCCTCCCCAGGCGGTGGACAATTATGTTATGATAGCTTATTGTAGCTGAAAGTGATGTATGCTGAATGCCACATATAAAATACTTGACTACAAAAACTGCCCCCTCCTTTCCAAATAAGTGCATTTATTTCCTGTACAACTGACAGATGACTGCAATAATGAATGAGCAGTTAGAAATGCATTACGCTTGAGATGTCTTAACCTATTCCTGAATGCCTTCCGTTTTCCAAAGGAGTGGTCAACCCCTTGCCCAGCACTCTATCCTGGAAGAGCTGCAGCAGGTGGGGCAGGGAATTGGCCACTGAATCATGCCAGGATGCACTTTCCACTGGAGTCCACTTTCAAATTGCTTCCATGCAATAAAACCAAGTGCTTCAAAATAAATTGTGGCTGTTATTTGTTCTCTTTCTCTGGGAAGGCTGGGGCTGGGAACAAAGGTCTAGATGTCATTCATACCCAAGCCTACACAGGCAAAGCTAAGCAGGCATCAGTTTTCCGTGGATCTAGGATCAGGTGCATGTCTTCTCTGGTGCCATTTTCTGGTCACATATGTTAGGCAGTGTGCAAGATGCTTTATTCTTATGATTTGTGGACTAGTGGCCTAGGGCATCATTTCTGTATGATCTGTGTACTACCTTCATCAACCTCAAGTGCGAGCCTTATAAACCCACAAACTCCTGACTCCACACAATTGATATGACAATCTGAGGAGGTATGGGAAAGTGCAGGCTTTACCAAATCCTAGTTTATTCTGATGAACACTGATGCTTGAGAATAAGTGATCTCCAGGAGGATGTTGAACAGTCCCTAGGGCTCTGCATGTTAGATGAGGAGAAGCTTATGTAGAAGGGGCCACATGTAGCTAATTCATCTGTTGCGAAGACAACAGTGATGATTTTTCAATAGTCATCTGCTTGATATCCAATGTACTTCTCTGGGCATGCTTTTTTCAGTTCTGAGCTACACTGCCATTCCTTTTATTTATTTTTTTATTTTGAGGTAATGTCTTAAGTTGCCCAGGCTGGCCTCAAATTTGCACTCCTGCCTCAGTCTCCCAAGTAGCTGGGATTACAGACCTACATCATTATATCTGACTCTGGAAATGATTTTGAAGATTTACTTTTTAAATTTTATGTGTATTTATTTTATGAGTGTTTTGTCTACATGTATTGTTTTGTCTACATGTATGTAAATATACCACATGTGCCTGTTGCCTATAGAGGGCAGATAAGAGGGTGTCAGATTCCCTGGAATGAGTTAAAGACAAGTATTAGCTACCATATGGGTCCTGGTAACTGAACCTAGGTCTTCCAGAACAGAAAGTGCTCTTAGTCACTAAACCATCTCTCTAGCCCGTGGAAATGATTTTGAAAGTTGTAGTCCTCGTATAGCTTTACATGGAGTCTTTACTGTTAAAAACTTGTGTAGTACGATTGCCATGATGCCTTATTTTGTTTGCTCAGTCCCTTTTCTAAGAATTGCTTCTCCTCCTGTCCCAGCAAGATGGTTCTGGGGGCAGGGGTGGTCAAAATATTTCTGATTTCCCTACCTCTGGTCATGGTAGTTGGTTCAGGATGGCCATTTAAGCCAATGAAAGCTCTTTTCTAGGACTTTAAACTTGGCATCAGAGTGGCTGGTAGGAAGATGTGAGAGTCAGGAGCTATGGGTAGCCCTGTTTCCAGACTCTTGACAAGCCAGAGATGGTGCAATGAACAGGGACAAGATAACCTAGTGAGCCATAGTGTATTTCCTTTTCTACAGCTTACTGGCTAGTCCTTGAAGCAGTAAATCCCCCTCTTTACCAAAGCTCTTTGTTATGACTCTGCTATTTGCAACTAGGAGAGTTCTAAATAATATAGTGATTAAAGGGGGTAGTTGCAGGGCTGGAGAGCACTGGCTACTCTTGCAGAGGACCTGGTCTGATTCCCAGCACCACATGGCAGCTAACAACTGTCGTAACTCCAGTTCCAGGGGATCTGATGCCCTCTTCTGACCTCGGGCATTGTCTGACATGGGTGCACTTATATTCATGCAGGCAATAAACTCATACACACAAAATTTAAAAAAAATTTTTAAAGGGGTAGTTGTTGGGGCTGGAGAGATGGCTCAGCAGTTAAGAACACTGACTGTTCTTGCAGAAGACCCAAGTTTGAATCCCAGCACCCACATGGCAGCTAACAACTGTCCGTAACTCCAGTTCCAGGGGATCCGACAGCCTCTTCTGTCCTCCTCGGGCATTGCACGACTTGGGTGCACTTCATGCAGGCAATACATGCATACACATAAAATAAAAATAAAATATTCAAAAAAAAGGGGTAGTTGCAATACTGAAAACTGAATGGTGATATCTCAGGGAATGAGCAAGTATCCCCTCCCTAATGCACCCCAAAGTTATGTTCATGGTCAATTCCTTAGGCCAGGATTGACATATCTTCAGCACTCATCTGTCTGTCACAAAGATTGAATTATTAAAAGAATGCCAAGACAGTTTAGGGTGGCCACCTTTTAAATTTTTTTTTTACATATATGAGTGTTTTGCCTACATATATGTAAGTGCCCCATGCATGCAATGAACATGAAAGCCAAAAGAGGGCACTGGATCCCCTGGAACTGGAGTTACGGATAGTTGTTAGCCCCTATGTGGGTGCTGGGAACAAAACCCAGGTCCTCCAAGTAGTCAGTATTTCTAAATCTCTCCAGCCCTGGGTAGTCACCTTTAAATGATTTTTTTTTTTTTTAACAGAGTCTCATTTATCCCGGGTGTCCTCTAACTTGCTATGTTGCTGAGGATGACCTTGAAATTCTGGTCTTCTTGCCTCTACCTCCTGAGTGTTAGGATTACAGGCATGCACCATGGTCCCTGGTAAATTAAGAGCTCTTCACTTAAATTGTCAATATGCCCAAGAACTCTGAAAAACTAAAACATTAATTTTTTGAGCTGTCTGTCTTGGGGAAATCAGACCTCCAAAAGCCCTAGCACAACCACACCAGAATATCATTTGGAGATCTAGAACATAAGAAATAAAATCAATACTCAAATCCTCCTGCCTCAGCCTCTTAAGTGCTGGGGTTACAGGCATGTGCCACTATAGCTGGCTCTCCCCATATGGCTTGCCTGAAAAAGTTATCTGAATACTCCAAATTACTTACAATGACAAATATTATGTTGAGAAAATCATGTTCTTACATAAATTCTTTCTAATCTATATGTATATCCCTCTTTTTCTTTTTCTTTTTTTTCTTTTTTTTTTTTTTTTTTTAGAAAGGGGGTCGTGATCCACGCGCAGCTTTGAGGCCATATTGAACAGAGGATGCACCTGAACTCCTTATCAACCCGCCTTCTAG